AATCAAATGTATCAGCTGAAACCGAAATACACAAATGCAGATACAGAAAGGTTGTGGCAAATATGGGATACAGATACAGGCATGACCGCTGTTGACACATTCACAGCGTAATAATAAACATAATTTTTTAATTTCATTTTTAACAAGTTTTTTTAAATGTATGTAATGAATAATTCATTAGAATATGATAATGCACATTGTAACAGAATAGAACAATCACCAAATTTTTTTTTGAAATTAAAAAATAAAAGTAAAAAGTATAAAGTAATCTAACCAAAAAAGACATTTAAAAGAATTTTGGAAAAAACAGAATAAGGATAATGATATTATTTTAGATACACAATCGATGTACTGAAGAATAATCCGGTAAAATGATGATATAAAATTAGTAGTATATGTTGAAGGGTTGTGTGACTTTTTTTGTAAACGTAAGAATTCATACAATATTGAACGATTTTGTATCATTTTTTTAACATATGAAGTAAAAAATGTATGATTCTTACGGTTTTTATTCTTACGTTTTTGAATAAATCAAGATTTAAAAAATTTTCAAAATTGTAAGACATTTACACTCAGCCCATACATAATGAAATAAAAAAAATAAACTTTAAAAATTCATGTCTTACATTTATGAAAATTTATTTTTATTTTGTATGAAACCGATTTTAAAAATTTATGAATAATTTATAAAAAGTTTTTATTCCTACAATTCCTATATTACCATTAATAAAAAGAATATATTTTTGACGAAGTGAAGATTCGCACTTTCGTCACAAAACTCCGAAAAAATAAAGTTAGATTTTTTTATTTTATAATAAATGAGTATAACAACTAATTCATTGAAATCTTTAAAGTTCACTAATTCAGAATTAGAAAATATTTTAGAAAATTTGGAGACGGTTCTTATCCAACATATATGCAGAATGTTGAAAGAGTTTTCCAGATTGTTGAATGAATTTAAATATAACGGACCAATTACTAAAAAGGCTATAATGAGATATTTATATCCCAAAAAAAGTTGAAAAACAGGAGAATATTCCCTTTATGGTCCAGAGGACCTGGGCTCAGAGAGCCTTGAAACACCTCCTGAATATTTTGAAGAAAAAATTAAACAAGATGAATATTATAACGATGAGATTGAGAAATTGGAAACAATTAAGAAATGAAATAGATGAAAAAAATTAAGGAATTGAGAAATGCTGAGAATGAAGTAGAGGGTTTAATGAATATCCAGCTTCAGAATCAGAAGTTCAAAAATCACATGAGGAAAGATATAAAATTACTTTTTGGAATCTACTAAAAATTTATTAGATGGTGATATTAACGAAACACTTTCAGAAGAAGGCACAAAATTTATTCATAAACATAAGCTTTCAGTTTATTGACGATGGAGATTATCCATGTATATTACTTTCACCTCCTCTTGATTTCTGAAAAAATTCAAAAAAAGCACTGAAAAATGTAACATATGCAACTAATACGATTAAGAAAGAAGATCATGATATTTACACAAATTATTATTTAAATAAATGTACAGGTGTTGATAAAGTTTTTGATTTGTTAGATAAAATATCAAAAGAAAACAATTGGTACATATAAAATTTTATGCGATTGTGGTTTCATTATTGAAGATACCAATAATGTTTCATATGAAAGAACAGCACCGAAGGAAGACGAAGTTGAAAGGTCTATACCATTCGTTATTAAGAATATAAAAGATATGAAAACGTATAAGCATTATATTTATTCATTTATTTCAGAAAAAAAATGTAAGCAACCCATAAAACATCATCTCATCATTTTATAGCTATTCATACATTCCTTTTCAAAGTTGTTGTGAAATTAAATAAGACAGGAATTAGATTTAATGTATCAGGGTACGCATTCTTGAGTAAATTAAAATGTATTCGTCACGTCGCAGATGATAAAAATTTATGTGTTCTTAATTTCATTTTATGGACTTTAGCCCTGGACTCTCTGAGTCTCGGACTTTAAAAAAAATAAACTTTATTTTTATTTATTTTTTAATTTTTATTTTACATTAAATGAACAAAAATGGAACAGCTAAAAATGAATGATAATCAAATAAGAGCCGAAGGTAGAAGGTTATTTAAACGCTTCTATAACATTTCCTGATGGTGTTAATCCTAAAACTCGTAGAAGTTATTTAAATGAAGCCATAGATGCATATTGAAGGATTTGACATTATTCATCAGAAAGTGAGAGGTTAGCAAGAATGTTAAAACGTTAATATTGATTTTTATTATTGTGACCCTCAACCAGAAGACGTAGACATTAACAAGGTAGACTTTCCATTAGTGGAATCAATAATGATAGATCCAGAATTTGAAACAGTAAATATTTTATTAACACAGAGTCCATGTGGAAAACTTCACGCTGACAGAATTACAGACGTTGAAGCACTCACAGGATATAAGTTTGCCCCTTTTGCAAGAAGAAAGTATATTCTATCCGTGATGATCCAGAAAGGAAAACCAAGAAGATTTTTAAAACATTGTGAGAAATTAAAGAAAATAATGGGAAGATTAATTCAAGACGTTCAATTGCAAAACACACAACAACCATATGCACCACATATCACGAAAACAGAAGATATATCAGGGTTATTAGCTCACAATTTGCAGGAATATTATCAAACCGACAAGATATTATATTACTTTTGACTTCGAAACATTAGAGACTAAAGAGAATTACAACTTTCTGAGTGTGCAACTTTGAACGCTTACTTTAAAACCATTTATGGTATCATCAACTGTCAAAATAAAGCCGCAAAGCGGCGAGGTCGTAGACCGTGATAAAACATTTACGAGGAATTTTTGCTTAACATCAAGTGATTCGTTCATCTCTGATTGGATTGAATTTTTATTTTTCAAACCTGTTCATTAGTTGCTAAAATCAAATATTGAAACAATATGAAGAATTAATGAATACATTAAATGAGAAACAAAAAAAGGAAGCAATGAAAGAGCTTTTAGATGAAGAATTTAATAAAGTGATATCATTGGTTTTAATTCAGGAAAGTTTGATTTAAATTTAATTTTTCGTGATTTAAATACTGCAAAATGGAAGATAAAATCAATGCTGGGTTCTTTTTCTCAATTTAAGCAAGTCATAGTAAAGAAAACAAACTGGTCCATATGAATTAAAGATTTATTGACATCAGAAATTATATAGGCGGTGGAACATTTAGACCAATTCACTCAAGATTTCGGAAACAATAAATCACGTGTTAAATCCTTTTTCCCTTATCAATTCATCACATGGGAGAATTACGAAGATGAATTATATAAAAAGGAACCATTCACTCAAGATTCATTTTATTCAGCATTAACACAAGAAACAATATCCGATTCAGATTACAAATATATCTCAATGATGCTAAAAATTTTGAGAATAGATTAGAATATTTTATTCATTATTGCAATAAAAGACGTTGAAATTATGATTGACCCAATTGATAAAATTATCGAAGAAACATTTGTTTATAAAATTGACATGCTTCATAATCTTTCTTTATCATCGAATGCATCAATGATTCGTTACGCGTTAGCATATAAGAACTTCAATCCTAACGAAACATATCCAGAAAGAAGAAAAATGTGGAATCAAGTTTTGAATTAACAAAAAAGTATTGGAAATATAAAATTGATTCATATAAGAAACAAGATGAAAAGGCGAAAAAGAGATACCAAAAACAATGTTTCAATGGATGATTTTCAATACTATCACGATTTAATCCTTTCATCTAAATGCAAAATGTGTGGTAAAGCGTTTACATATGTAAATAAACCAACATTGGATAGAATCGATAATGAAAAACCACATACCAAAGAAAATTGTCAGTTAATGTGTTGTTATTGCAATGTCGTAAAATCAAATAAAGATGAAGATGTTTCAACGTTTAAGAATCAATTTAAGAAATTATGCATTAAAAAATAATTTACCAATGACTTTAGATTCAGTTGAAGCTTATCACATTCTCCGTAATGGAATTACTGGTGGTCTATCAAATGTTCAACATCGTGTTAATCTTAAAGGAATCACGCACATTAATAAACTTTCATATAATCCAGAAACTAAAACTGTATCAAATGAGGACACCACCAACATTATGACTCATTTCGTTGGAGTTGACTTTAATTCATTATATCCTTCATCATTTTCATCTAATCCTCATGATTTCATTCATATACTGACCATAAAATGTATATGCCGGGAAGATTGAATGGAGTTATCATTTGTGATACAGCAACAAAGAAAGCAAAAGCACTGGGAATTATTAGAAAGAAAAATACTTTATTCGTGGCTGAAGTAAAGGGTCACATTGATGAAAAATACATTAATGATTACATAAACTTTTTACCGATAATAAGAAACTTAGATATTATCACAGATGAAAAAACAATTGGCAGTTTTATGTATAATTACATGAAATCAAACAATCTACCAGTTGACCAGAAACAGAGGAAATTAACTCAGTTAGCATCAACACACAACCAATATCAACCATTTTCTTCTTATTATCTTTGGTATCTAATAGACAGGTTTAATTTTATCATTGATGATATTCAATCAATTTTAACATTTACGAAAAACACTTGTTTTAATGAATTTGCGAAAGAATTTATGAACGAAAGACAAAAGGCTGAATTAGAAGGAAATAAAGGAAAAAGTTTATTTTGCAAGATTTCACTTAATGGATCATATGGTTACGATGCAATGAATACACAAAATTACGCAAAGACTAAAATAATGAATGCACAGAAGTCACGCGTTGCATGTATGTCAAATAAGTTTAAAACATAAGAGAAATAGGAGAGGATACATATCAAGTGATGCTCAAAGATAGATTTTATAGATGTGAAACATGTTTACAAGAGGCATTCTTTACTTTAGATAATGCTAAATACTGGTATTTGGTTTTCATTTATGTTTTATGTATAAATGCTTGAATGTTAATCGTTTTCATTTCATTGAAGGTGATACTGATTCATCTTATTGGGCAATCGCTGGCGACCCAAATCTTCCTAACACTCAAGCATTTCAAGCAATTGTTACCGATAAACAATTTTATGATAAAAACATTTTCAAATTCGCACCTTTTGATTTCTTTTGTTTTGATGAGAAATTTAAACCTAAATTAAAGAATAAAGCTGAAGAAAAAGCACATGAGAAAAAATTATTGGGTTTAGCAATTGAGAAACAAGGTGATAACATGGTTGCTTTATGTCCTAAGTGTTATACATCATTCAACGGTTCAATTGATGGAAGTGATTTTAAAAAGATTGCACAAAAATGAAGGTGTTAGTTTACGACAAAATAAACAATTAACACCTAAAAATTATTTGGATATAATAAATGATAAAGTGATATTTGATGGTCAGAATATTAATTTACAACTTAAAAATGGGTCAATGACTCGCTTAACAATTGGTAAGACTGCATTAACAGGAGCACACACTAAGGCTGTATGTTGTGAAAATGGATGTTGTATGCCATTTATTTAAAATTTTATTTTTAATGAAATGCCACAGAAGAGACAAAAGGAACCGTTAATAATGGTTTTGATACTATGATTCAAAGAGGTGGGCACCCTTAAAACATTGATTTTATTTTTATATAAATGGATAACGTACATTTAAAAAATTTAATTGCTGATTTAGTACTTAATCAAAATTTTCTTGATTATTATGAATTAAAATCATAACTCCAAAAATATGATAACAATATAACGGGTGATGATATGGAATATTATTATCCATATTATAAAAATGAAATTTTGAAATATCATAATAAAATAATTTCTGAAATTAAAGACAAAATTAAAAATAATGAATATTCAAAGGGAAAAACTAAATCACAACTTAAACAGTTGAAAGATTTCAAATATAAAGTATTAACAGAAGAAGATATTGATGAATTATATAAATTATATAATCCTGAGCCACAAAAAAAAAGGAACAAAACACCCAGGTCCTTCAGACCATAAATGAAGCACAAGCTTTAATTTATGATTCATTAGTTAAACCATATTCAGCCCAACTTTTAAATGAAGATCAACTTTTGGAATTCATCCTTCAACATAAACTCGAAGCGGGAAAGTATATCAAACCTTTATATACAGCATATTTAAAACAAATGAATAGAATACATCCAGAATTAATGAAGGAAGGAATGAAATCCAAAATCAAAGCAGATAAAATTAAACCACTTGCAACACCAAAACCTCTCACACAACAGTACCTCCTCCTCCTTCAGTTAATCCTTCATCATTCACTTTATTATATCCATTTCAAACATTAAAGAAGCAAAAAGATTTTAAAAAGGATTTCAAGATATTAAATAAACCAATTGACCCGAAAATTCAACCGTTAAAGGAAAAATTTAGTCGCCCTTCATTTGCACCATATCCATATTCATACGAAATCGATCATCTGGAATATTCAAAAGGAAACGTTACTTATTTATTTGCCATTAACATTAACACTAGATATTTATATTGCATTCCGGTGAAAGGGAAAACAGAACAGGAAACAAGAAGAGCTATTCAATACTTACTATAGATCATGAAAGAGTAGATAATATCAGGGGTGATGGTGATAAAGGATTTCAGGCAGCTATGACTCATTATTTCCCACAAATTAATTTTTTCTTTTCATCCTCTCCATATACGTTTCATAATAAATAGTTGATGCGGGTAATGAGAACTCTTAGAGATGCGTTAGGGTTAACGGTCAGATATACTGGGATGGAAATCATGACTCCATCATACAACAGTTAGTATATTATTACAATAATACATGGCATAGAACTATAAACATGAAACCAGTGGAAATGAAAAATGATATTTCAAAAGAATGGGAATATATTAGAAAGCAAATGGAAAGGTTGAATGATGTTAAACGTGAACAAATTAATTCGGGGCTCATGAATTTTAAACAAGGAAATAAAGTTTTAATTCATCTCGATTATGGAAAAACTGATAAATCAATGACAAAAAGAAGACGAAGATTTGACACAATAGCTGAATTTGTTAGATATATTAACGGCAATGCATTAGTTGAAGTTGACAATAAATTAATAGAAATTCCGATTTATTTTATTACTCCATTATATTTAAATAATATTTAATTTTTTTTATTTCGTAAGAAATGAGTGACAACAAGCAGTCAAGAGTCCAGACGATGAATATAAAAAGAAACTAAACAGAATTAAATCAAAAATATGCTATTACAAAAAGAAGCCGCAATGCGGTGGGGTTGAAAACGATAAAGAAATAATCGAAAAATTAGAAACTTACCGTTCAATCCTTAAACTGAGTGAAGCAAAAATAAAAGAATTTAATAGAATAAATAAATTGATTGGAAGAGATGAATTTAATAAAGATGAATTTTTAAACTCAATCCAAATTTAATTTTTATTCCTCTTTGACAACATCTCTCTTTCCATCATTACTGCATAACCACATTTTCTCAGTTTTAGTGGTTTGTTATTTTTAACATGTTCTTGCATCATTTTTATCATTTCCTCCCTTGTTATGATTCGTGGTAAATTTTGAGCTTGTGGGGTATTCATTTATGATAAAAATAAAAATTTAAATTATGCCGTTCTAAAGTTTGTGACAACATGACATTTTGACAACAACACAGGAGGAAGGTATTTATGACTTATTTTTGAAGAACTGAAGGTGTCACCAGGTCACCATGTGTCACCAGGTCATTTAACTTCTCTGAAAAAATGTGACAACATGACATTTTGACAACAACACAGGAGGAAGGTATTTATGACTTATTTTTGAAGAACTGAAGGTGTCACCAGGTCACCATGTGTCACCAGGTCATTTAACTTCTCTGAAAAAATGTGACAACATGACATTTTGACAACAGGTACAAGAGAATGCAAAAATAAATTCAAATCATACTTTATAAAGCTTCATTTACAGGTATTTCATCGTCAGTAAATGAATCCTCATTATCGTTTGGTTCAACCTGTTTATATAATCCTTTCATTTCTTCTTTCAAAACATAACACCATGTTTGTTTACCATCTATTCTTCTCTGTTTCTTATCACATTTATCCTTAATACTCATTTGGAAATTCTTGTCTTTCATGTCTGATGGTTTGCAGAATAGAGCATTTTTACATGTCATACCTGCACTCAATTCATCATAATGTGTATTTATCCATTCATCTAAAGGATTTGTTGATAATTCAATTAAATCTTGTTTGGCTTCAGTCATCGGTATGATTCGTACATTAAATGATGAAAGGTCGTAATTGATAAAATATGTTAAAAGTTTATCATAAAATTCCTTTGTGCATGAATTCATCAAATTCTTGAAGTAATTAAATTGGCCCTTGAATTTACCATTGACCCTTAAAACCACGTATCTTCTGCCTCCAACTTCAATTTTGACAGGGTAGACGTTGTTAGTTACGAAAATGAAATTGGCAACATTCTGAGCAGTTCTTCTGGGTTGATTCTTTTCATTAATTCTAATCTCATTATCCGTAATAATTGATTTCAAAGCGTTGAAGTTTGCGAGTCTGTCTTCACCTACATTCTTGAGTTCATTAAGTACAAGAAACATTTTATTTTCAACTACTGAGTTGAAATTACCCGTTAGCTCACTTATTTCAGTAATGTTTTTACATGAATAACCAGCGAGAAGTTCAGAAATAATGTCTGTGAATCTGTTTTTACCTGTTCCCTGAAGTCCTTTCAAAATAATTGCTGTTTCATTCTTGATTCCAGGATGTTGAATCATTGATGCAATCCAGCCGAGAAGGTATTTATACACTTCATCGTTATTATCACAAATGGCTTCTTTAATGAAATCCATAAACATCTCAATTTTTGAGTAATCTACTTTTTCGAGAACGTTGTATTTATAACCCTGAAACGTTGAGAAAACATCTGGGGAATCAGATTTAAAGCAAACACCCTTAACGGTTAATGAAGACAATTGATTTAATAGTACGTCCCATGCTGTTATGGTTTTACCTTCTTCTTTAAATAATTTAATCATTTTGAGTGACTCTTTCATGTTTGATTGAAGAACGAATGATATTTGATTCATTTTGTCGTGGATATTATAGTCCTTTTGAATGAAATATTTGTTTCCACAATCTACAAAACGGATTACACGTGATAAATCCTCAATTACTTCAGAACTGTTTTTATACTGATGATTTTCAGCCCTGCGTCTAATATCTGTTATCAAAAACGAGTCATCAAGTTTGATATCAAATGTTATTTTTGGCTTACGTAATAAAGGTAAAACATATTCATCATAATATTCCTTTTGATAAAGTTTTAGAATCTTCACCAAAACAAATGGAGAAGTCATTAAATGTGCATATCTACTACGTGCTTTTTCAAAATTACTTTTTGCATTTTCAGTTAAATTGCAGAAATTATAAACGTTATCGTATGCTTCATTAATTAAATGATTAGGTAACGAATTAATTGCTTGAAACAGTGTGAATAATGTAACTTCTTTTTCTAAATTCATGTTTCCACCATCATTATGTACTTCAAAATCACTATTGCCATCAACTATGCTCTGGGCAAGTTTATCGTCAATGTTTACATCTTTGTTTTCATTCATGATAGTCTTTATTTCTTCGTTCTTCTGTTCAACTCTTACCTTAATATTCAAATCATTTAATATATCATTCACTGTTCTAGTTAATGTTGAATCATAACTTCCACGAATGAATGAGTATGTATTGATTGGTTCTGTTGCATTCTTGCGAACTCTTGAATCAGCCATAACTACTAAAGAACGCTTTGAATCATCCATAGAAGTCATGATATCGATATCATAATCATTGCAGGAATAACATTTAATCATTCTGTTCGAAACTGCATAGAAGAAATTAGTGTTGCAATAAATGTGAAGACCTCCTGAAGCGGTTTTAACGATAACATCTTTATCCGAAAGTTTTGATAAAATGTCTTTTCCAACTGTTTCTTTAAGTTCATCATTGTACGATTTATTGATATCAACATCTATAATCGTTAAATTTGAAATTTTATTTACTAATAAAGCTGTACCAGTTTTCCTTCCTCTTCCTCCATCATGTTTGAGGTAGTTATGTAAATCAATCCTGTTTTCACCAATTCTTTCGTTGAGGGTTT